TACATTCCATGTTCCAATGATTAATGGATGTCTGCGGCTGTTTCTCTTCAATTTGAGTGGTACCACATCAGCAAATGGATGTCTCGAAAGCTTTACCTTATCCATATGAGTAAGGCTGTGTTTACTTAAATGATGCAGCTCTTTCCCAGTCCTATTTTGAGAGCCTTCTAACTTAACTGCACTATTCATAAAGTTGTGCGGTAATGTATCAAATAGTGTTTCTTTGATATTCATAAGGTTTTCCCTGGCCAATTCTTTTAGAAGTGGATGGCCTCTTCCTTCTTCCTAGTCTGTCTCCATCTGTAAGCTGGCTGATACCTGTGCACCACGTGCATCCCGCTGGGTTTAAAACACCAGTGGCTCAGCCTCAAAACTCACATCAACATGTCACCATGGTAGGACAAACAGACAGACAGGTTTGTCTCCCTGTTGGAAACCTCTCATACCACCCTTACCTGGGTCCCTGCAGCTGACTCCTCCTATGTCCAGGTTCCTGGGCCTTTTAATCCCCTTTCTCCTGCTCTCCCGCCCTGCTGTTTTGGGCGTGCCTGAGTTCCCTCTCCTCACCTGGATCCCTGCAGCTGACTGCTCCTCTGTCCGGGTTCCTGGCTTTTAATCCCCTTTCTACTCCTCTCCCACCCTGCTGCTTTGAGCGTGCCTGGGTTCTCTCTCCTCACCTAGATCTCTGTGGCTGATGTATATAGAAAGGTTTATCTAAAAGAAGTGGTTCACATAGAGGGAGAAGCTAGCAAGTTCCAAGTCCATGGATCAGAGGCCAGGCTGGAGGTTCTCCTGACTCACATAGCTCTAGGACTACCTGATAATAAAGAGGAACAAACCACTGGTACTCAGAATAACAAAGGTGAATCTCAAAATATTATGTTGAATGAAAGAAGCCAGGCGAATGAAAGTATATACTGCATGATTCCATTTATAGACAGTCCTACAGGCAAAACTAACCTATGATAGAAACCAGATCAGTGTTGTTTCTGTTACATAGAGGTGTGGGAAAGGGCACAAGGAACATTTGGGGTGATGGAAATGTTCTGTCCTGACTTACATAAGCATTTGTCAAAACTGAGCAGTTTCACCTAAGGTTTGAATATGTCACCACCTCACCCACTGCTATCAATTTGATTCTGACTCATAGCAACCCTGTAAGGACAGTATAGAACTGCCCCATAGGATTTCCAAGGCTATAAATTCTTATGGCAGCAGACTGCCACTTCCTTTTCCTCCTGCAGAGTGGCTGGTGGGTTTGAATTGCTGACCTCTTGCTTCATCCACTATGCCACTAGGCTCCTTTTTTTTTTTTTTAGTATATCACTGTATGTAAATTATACCTCAAATAAAAATAATAAAATATAGGATAGTTCTAAGCTTGGTCTGTGCAACTAGAAAATAGCACTAGGTCACTCAAACATTAATTATTAATTGATGGATGAAACCTCCAAAGCTGATTAATTTCTTAATAACTGCATTAAATTAGTACTTATAATGTATAAATAAATCCAAATACTCTTTCATGTAGTAATGATCACAATGCTTTTGCATCAAAATGACACTTGTTTAGTGTTTGCAAAGTGTTTTCCTACCTAGTATCTCATTTGATTTAATGAGGATAAGTTAGTTCACTAAATATTAATAGGCTTGTTTGACAGATAAATTAATCCTAACAATAAGAGATTAAGATTAATTTAAATGATACATGTAGAGACTGAAACCTAAATAGTTGTATTTTTTGGATTTCTGCCTATTTTACTGAGTTTCTGTCAACAAATTATTTGAAAAAGCTTGTAGGCTATATAAAATTGAATATAAGTTAGAAATAGAAATAGAAAACCAGGACCAGGAAAAAGAAAAATATGAATGTTGAAAACAAAAATTATTGTGATTGAGTTTCAATTTGTCTATGAGTTCTATGACAACAAAGTTAAAAAGGACAATACAATTAATTACATAGACTTCAAAGTAAGAGAAGAAGCATTTTCCTAGCATTGCATTTTAAAGACAATTATTCATGTGGGACTTCATATAAGGACATGTGATAACTTAAAAACACAATATTCAGGACTATATATTTATAGAAAATTCTGTTGAAATTTTCCTATGGCTGTTTTAGTTAACTGTGAAAGCAATATAAGTCAAATTACATGA